AAGGAGCTCAAATTTCTGAATAAAGAAATGTAATGCACTGTAAAGCTACAGTGAATGATTACCTGAGAATAATTCATTGAAGAATAGTTTAAGTTGCTTTGTAGGGCTTGTTTGCATTTCCCATTGTCTCACAACTACTGTAGCTTGTTCTTTTTAGCTGTAGAGATCCTCCAGATGAGGCAAATTTATTCAGAGGTTGCTGGTTTGTCACTGTAGTTCTAAGGTGGGTTTTTGTTGTTGTTTTTTTTAACATCCAAATTAAGTTTCTGTTGTTCCAGGCTATTTTCTAGCAATTCCCAGCAACAGCTGCAAAATGTTAGTCCAACCCTCAAAAACCTCTTTTCAATCCTGAGACAAATCAGAATTTTAAAAAAGGATCCTTCTCTTCTTTTCTCTCTTTTTAATTTTTTGTTAGGGTTAAAGTAGTGTAGTGCATCAGTACATCAAAACAACTTTTTTGCACTATAACACTATATCAATTTGAAAAGAATTTTTAAAAAATCTGGCGGGATAAAATTTGACTTTCAAACCATAGGTTCTCTCAGCAAAAAAATAAATAAATAAAAATCCTAGTTTTTTAAAAATAAAGCCTTTGGGAGAGCCTTAGCATAGATCCAGTAAATTGTTCCAATCAGATCCCCCACAGGATGGAACAAGTGGATGCATAGGCAATAACAACTAGCAAAACCAAAGAACTCATGCTTCTCTAGACCAATCTGGAGAAGCTCATAGACCTCAGATTTCCCTTCTTCATCAACTAATTGGTCTTGGAATAGACTAATTACCTTTTTGCTGCATACCAGTAACTTAAAGATTCAATTCTCACCTCATGAATGGCCTCTGATATGATCCTCAGGACTCATTTCTAACATTGTATGGTACATATTATTCAAACAGACTTGAATAATACTGATTTTCTCTTCCAGTATTGACAGTCTTTGAAGATATACTGTGAACTTTGTTCAAGGGGCTTCCCCTCTTATTTTGGATGGAGGACAATTATTTTTGTCTTGTAAAAGCAAAAAAAAGCAAAGCAGCTATAATGGAATAGAGGCCAAACATTTGGGAAACACACAAGGGACTCTCAAACGTAGACACATTCATGGCCTAGAGCTACCATTTCAGCTGATATGTGCACCACTCCTTTAGACACCCCGAGGAGTGTAATTCAGAATCCTTCTTGTTCCCTGTTCTTGCATGTGCTTTAGATCTCTAGAGAACTCAGTTAATTTAAAAGACAACGTTTCGAATTATATATGGCTGAGGGCCATATATAATACCCTAAAGGCGCCAGATCCCATCTGATTTTGAAAGCTTAGTAGGCTCAGCCCAAGTTAGTAGTTGGATAGGAGATAAGGATACCAGGTGCTGTATATTTCAGAGGAAGAAAATGGCAAAACCGCCTCTGAGTATTCCTTGCTGAAAGACTTTATCACACCAGGCTCATATAGTGTCACAATTGTCTAGCAATTATTCTGGATTGGGGATAATCATTATCACACAGACCTTCAAAAGTGCAATGGTGCTGCTTCTGTGCCAGCCTCTGTCTCCTGCATGCCAGTCTCCATAGCCCACCTCCCTGTTCTAACCCCTTCCCAGCATGTCTTTCAGTATGTATTTATTTATTTTTAGCACAGTTGCATAATCAATAATCAAATAAAATAAAGAAAATGAAAGAATTTAAATAAGAAAAGGAAAGCAGTCTGCTTGAGAACAGTGAGGAGGGAAGGGGAAGAAGAGGAGAGGAGCATGTTCTCACCCACTTGGACCACATGACCGCCTGCATATCAGAACTTCTCCAGGAGGAACTTATCACACTCTCTCAATAATGAAAAAGCAGCCTGATTTTTTTGGCACGGGGAGGTATTGATAGGTTTTACCTATCAATGAAAAAGAGCACTGCAGCAGTGGATGTACTACAGACCAACTACTGAACAGACACAGTGGCATGTGATAATATATGGCCACAGACACTGCTAGCCTGCTTTAATTTCACTTTTCAAGCCTGGTGTGAAAAAGTCCTAAGAAAACCCTATGGAATTCATAGGGTCACGTTAAGTTGCATGGCGACTTAATAACAAGTAATATTTATTTCTTATTCACCTTCCCATGGATCGAGGTGGGAAACAATAACAATTAGCCACATCAGTTAAAATACATATCAGTTTAAAAGGACAAATAAGATATACTCATTTTAAAAAATCCATATTTAAAATTCATAATTGAAAGTTCACAATTTAAAAATCACCTGGATAAGTTCCGGAAGAGACTTTTTTAAACTCAGACAGTGTATTCAGCTGTTGAATCTCTTCAGGCAGCTCATTCCACAGTCTTGGGGCGGCTGAAGAAAAGGTCCTCTGGCTGACAGTTGCCAACCTAGTCCTGGCTGGCTGGAGTAAATGTACGCCAAAGGACCTGAGTGTATGAGGTGGATTATATGAGAGGAGGCGATCCTATAGGTAACTGGACCCAAACCATGTAGGGCTTTAAAAATAATAAGCAACGCTTTGTACCTTGCCTGGAAACTAATTGGCACATACATAAACACAATGTGGCACAAACATTTGTTAAAATTTCAAAGGTTTTGCATTCTTGATCGGTTAGTGCTGCCCAAGTTTTTATGGGTTAGCCCTGTGAAAAGGTCTTGTGGAGAGATCCCCTAAGCGCAGGGGTAGGCAACCTAAGGCCCAGGGGCCGGATGCGGCCCCCCGACGCCTTTGGACTGGCCCCAGGCCAGTCTTGCCGCCACCGCTGCCGCCACCTGTCATAATGATATTGATTATTGTTGTTATTACTTGTTCTTGGGGTTTTCTTGGCAAAATCTCCACAGGGGTTTTGCCATGGCTTTTCTGGGGCTGAGAGAGTGTGCATGCATATATTTTAATTTTTTTTAATTTAAAAAATAATTTTAATTATAATTTTTATTTATTTATTTATTTTTGGTGCTTCGGCCCCCCAATTGTCTGAGGGACAGCAACCCGGCCCCCGGCTCAAAAAGGTTGCCTACCCCTGCCTAAGCGTTTGGTGATTCTTTTGCACTCCATTTAGGGTAAAACAAATGAAAACAGCTGGCACTGGTTGATGACTCAGGTATCTAGATCTCTTTTATAAAATATAAAACATTAATGGAATGCCAAAATACTTTGGGGCATTTCCAGACATGTAGAAAAGAATCCCCTGTGGTATGAAAGATTCAAAAGCTTTGGGCAGGATTGGCCCAGCAGGGAGTTGGCAGTGCAGAAAGTGAAATTAAACTCTGAAACATAGTCTGTAAAAAGGACAAATTACTTTTAATAAGGAATCAGTTAACAGTACAGGCTGGGAAAGTGAAAATGAAAAAAGAAAGTGAAAATAATTTTAAAAATATAAATAGTAAGCATCATACATGTAGCTAGATGCTTTAACTAGCGAGTACAAACTTTCAGATTGTAGAGAAAGTATTTTACAGATGCCTAAGCCATCTTTTTAGTCAAGATGGATTGTGATACTCATTGCTCTTTAGTAAACAAAGGCTTCTTTCTTCTTCCCACAGTCCTCTAAAATTTGTTTTTCCAGAGGAACAAAGAGAGTGACATAGTGAGATTCCTTGTCCAGAGGGAACTCTGAACAGCTGAGCCCTCGCTCTTTAGATATAGTGGAATCAAAAGGGGATCGGGAATGGGTCTGAGTTAGTGTGAATTATTTGAGCCCTCAAATCCCCTATTAGAGTATGCTTCCAGCCTTGACAGCTGAGCCATCCGGAGTAAATGACTGTTCCTGAGCCATTAGGGAAATATTTACTCAGATAAGAACAAAGACTTTTGCAAGGTGTCAAACTATGTGTCACTGTTGAGGTTCACATATGGCAGAGCCCAGGGCTGCTTGGAAAGTTAAAAAGTTTTTGTTTTATTAAGATTTTTTAAAAGACAAAACTGGATTTCATTACAAGATTCACTACAAGTCAAGGGCCTCAGGATCAAATTAGACAAGGTGCACAAGAACTATGATTAGATCTCCTAATATTTGTGTTCCTTAAAAGAGAGATGGGTCATGGGTTTGTTCAAAATGTTGGAGGAGGTGAGTTTTAATTCCTTTCCCAGGAATGTCATCCACTAGGGAAAACTTCTCGAAACCAGTCTACTTTCCACTTTTGAACCACAGCTTGAAATTATATGTTTAAAAGCCAGTTCAATAAAGTTAAATGTTAGAAATTAGAAATTTAATTCACTAGCATAAACAATCACAGTTTAAATTGTTATAATTTAAGCTATTGTTGATTAGCTGATTGATTAAAATGGTAGTATTGGGCCAGGCCATGGGATTTACAGAGAATGACATGAAGGCATTTTATTGCTAACGCCTTCAAAAAACCTCTTTCTGCCCTTTTAAATTTACATTTCTCAATTTGTTCACATGTGGGCTACAAAATCCAGAATATGATTATTGCCTGCGCATGGTGGGAACCCAGTACATCTGGGAACTGTCAGGATGGGATCTCATCTTACAACCTCTTCAGTTAAATTTGTGATCTGCATCTCTCTTTTCTACCCAATGCCATGAACACATGCATTGCATTCACCCTTCAAATGCCTTGTTTGCTATGGTTTATTTCAGCTAGAGGGCATAGACCCACCACACATAAAGCAGTAAATGAATAACTATAAAGATTGGTCAGTCTATCAAGAGTGGAAAATTCTTGATCTGAAATTTACGAATGTCTCTTGAGCGGAATAGTATCATGACTTCCTTCTTTTTCCCCTCCTTGCAGACCTTTTGAATGTCAAACTAATGCAGAGGGACTTCTGGTTCTGCAGATCAGATGTTCAGGACTCTTTGGGAGGGGATGAAGGAGGGAAGGGATCACCTCTTGCTGGTAGAAGCCATTTGTTGTTATGTCCCTTCAAGTCAACTCTGATTTATGATAATGCTATCATAGGGTTTTCTTGGCAGACTAGGTTTACCATTGGCTTCCTCTTAGGCTGAGAGAGAGTGATTCATCCAAGATCTTCCAATGATTCCCATGTCTGTGCAGGAATTTGAACCCTGGTTTTATGAGTCTTAGTTCAACACTCAGACCACTACACCACGCTGGCAGGAAGCAGTTTCCATCTGTGGAAATAGCTCCTTGGAAACATCCAAATGCAGATCCACCATCCAGCTTTTGTTAGGTAAAGAAGCATGGAGGGTGAGTATCTGAGACAGCAGGAGATTAGGAATGCTTAACATATTGGCTGCCTGGACCATTTCCTGTTCAAAATCACCCTCCAGCTGCCTTTCTCTCTGGATTGCTCCAGATGCATAGGTCATCTGATACAGGATTTGAAGTGGAGCAATGGTGGGTGAGAAAAGGTTTAAGCATCCACTTCCTCGCCTCTTCTCTGCTCTACTGTAGATTCCCATAACCATTTCCCTTAACAATAGAAAAAACAAACCTGCAGAAGCATAATTGTACACATTTGCATATAATTGAACGTATTTCTTCTGTTGCCCACTGAATGCCAGTCCTTCCCTTTGCCCAGTAATTGATGGCCAAGTGGTGCAGTTTGCAGTTTGTCTCTCAAGTACCACCACTGTTTAATGCACATAGTGCCAACTATATGAGGAAGCTTTAAAATATATATATATATACCTAAAGTGGCTACAGTCGGCCCTAATATGCAACACTTCATTTGCTCCCACTTGGACTCCCTCATTCAAGTGTTCTTCTAATATGTCAGCCTGGCAACCTTTCAGGTGGAAAATTGATTTCTTTTGTCTTTTGTCTCTCACTGTGGACTATTTTTCTGGAGAGAGAAAAACAAGTATGTCACATTTATCTCACGTCTACAGCAACACTCAATTATTGCTGCAGTCAGTTCCCTGGGCTCATATGTCTGCGAGGTTTTTTTTAAAAAAAAATACTAAAAAGAAATGGGATAAAGCATACTTTGCCTTTGACATACTTTTTGAAGGGAATTGGTATAAAGTATAATACCCAATTTCCCTTTCTATGCCTAAAATGAAAACATTATTTTTGCTCGTAAAGTTCAGTGAGTTGAAATCACCCGTGGGCACTTAACACAGATTAGCACACTTATCCTTGCCCTCCTAACAAATGACAGCAGACAGACCCAGATTAAGACATGCTGAAGTCCTAACTATCTCAAATTTAAGAGGCCCCACAACATTAATCCCCCCTTCCAGTTCCCCCAGGCCTCTTCACTTCCAAAGTCTTAAACTGCAATTTCCTTAGTTTGTTCATGAATCTGGCATGACCACAGACAACCATTTACCCCATTGTTGCAGCTTCAAGATTATTATAAAATGGTGGTTTGGACCTATTATAACATGGTGGTTTGGCCCAGATCTTGGAAAGTTACAGTTAACTACAGTTATATTATCATGTTTCTGTTGCAGCTACAATTTTTGAAGTCAATTATTCTGGTATTTTATAACTAATTAAAATAATGGATTTTAGATCCTTCTTTTAAAAGCTGTCTTACAAACTGTTGCATTGTGATATAAAATACAGTCTTCTAGTTTTTTGTGGGTTTTCCAGCTATGTGGCCATATTCTGGAAGAATTTATTCCTGAAATTCTTCCAGAATATGGCCACATAGCCAAAAAGCCCCACAAAAAACTATGGATGCCAGCCGTGAAAGCCTTCGACTTCACAAAATACAATCTCTTTCAGTTCACCTTAATATCCACAAGAAATACTGACTAGGGGTTTCTAGGAGGTTTAGTCCAAAAAAGTCACTTTCTCTAGCTCTGCTTTGGACATCCTGCTTCCAAATTTTTCAAACCATTTAAGGTCAGAGCCACTCTGAGTTGGTTAAGTGAATCTGATAAGTTCTTACCTGCATTCTAACATGTCTGCATTGCATGCAACTGAGCATTTCTGACTTTTTCCCCCTGATGGCAAGACTTATTTACTCAGTACAACAGGTAGAGTGATGTCTTTTTAGGATGGTAATGGCAAATACTGGATAGTATTCTAGTTATAAATAGTTTTAGTTATAGATAATAATATAATAATAAAATAATAATTTTTTATTTATAGCCCGCCCCTCTGCGCGGCAATCGGGGCGGGGTACAACAATATTAAAATAGAACAGAGTTAAAAACATTCCATTATCCCATAGTCCCACCCTCCCATCCCCTTAAACACCCATCCCCTTAAAACAGAATTTGGTTTGGTTTGCGGGGGAAGGGGGGCAAATGAAACTGATATTTGCATATACATTTTGAGATGTAAAAATTATATATGAATTCAACATAAATACTTTTCAGGAAGTTCTTTTATTATGGCTAGGTTGTTTCTTATGGCTTTCCCCTTGTTGTGTGCTTTCAAGTCCTTTCTGACTTATGGCTCCACTAAGGCGTTTTCTTGGCAAGATTTGTTCAGAGGAAGTTTGCCATTGCATTCCCCTGAGGCTGAGAGAATGTGACCTGCCCAAGGTCAACCAGTTGGAGTCCAATACTCAAATCCCTATGCCACACCTGACTCTCAAAATCACGAGATCCTGACTCTTAACCGCTACAGTATTTCTGCTTGCATTTTGTATAAAAAAATATGAAACTCCCTCCAGCATCCATCTCAGTGTGTGTGTGCTGTACACAAAGGAAGCTGATAAATCTGACAGTGTAACCTACATTCCCTCCCTTACCTTCTGATTTTTTTACGTTCTTATTTTCAGTGACTGCTTCTTCCTGTGAACAAATGAAAGAACAATTGATGTGAGTCATCATGACAAGATGTGGCTCCCTAGGGCCTTGGGCACTTTCGTTGGTCGTAGTTTGCAGACCAGCCATGACCTTCCCATCCAGTTGTCATCTTACTCTCTTTACAGAAATGATGTTGGATGCCTTCTTGACACATGTACTCGGGGCTATTACTCCGAGGCTGCCATAAGCATGGCTAATTACAGTTGTGATTTTGGACACGATCCAGCCGAAGCGAAGCATGAGTATCATCTATTTCAGTCATAAGGACAAGCACAAGTGTTGCTCACTACCATTTAAATCAGTGGTCCCCAAACTTTTTCAGACTACTACCCCCTTTCCTCTTGGGTGACAGCCCTAGTGCTCACATGCCTATTTCTTGGTATTAGGTACACTGTTCTACTGGGGTGGGGAAGAAGAGATAAAGTAGCCTAAGCAATCTGCTAAGCAAGAACAAAAGAAGTGGCTGCTTTTGGGTCATTTTGCAAATGAAGTAAATGAAATCCTGCTTCCCATGCAACCCCACTGGATGACCATGAGCAAGTCACACTCTCCCAGCCACAGGGGAAGGCAATGGCAAACCCCCTCTGAAGAAAATTTTAAAAAAATGATAGGTTCTCTTTAGGGTCACCATGAGTCAAAACAACCTGAAGTCACACAACAACAATTACTGCTAGCGAGCCCAAGTTCCAAAAGGAACCTGGAGCCCCATAAATTTGTATTTGAGGCAAAGAAGGTGAGGCAGTGGAGTGGCTTGGGAAAGTGAAAGAGGGAGGCCCCTCTATGGAAGGAACAACACTGCCTGAATGGGGTGCCTGGAGAAGAGGACAGGCAGGTAGTCAAGCCCAGCAGGATTTCCACCTGAGGAAGGAAGGGCTGCGTGGCTGCATGGTTAGCCCAAGCCAAGAAATCTCCCTCAGCTGCCCTCTTCCTCCACCTCCTTCAGGCTTCTCCTGGCAAAGGGAGAGGGGAATAAAAGAGGGGAGAAGGAACAGCAAACCTCAGGAGTCGCCAGAGCATTGATAGTATCCAACGCAGAGGAAACAGAGGAAGAGCTAGCTAGCCAAAGAAAAGGGAAAGAAGAGCACACGCCTGCCCCCTTCCCTTCTACTTTGGCTAGCTGGCTTGAGCTAGCTAGCCAAGGCAAAAGGGAAATAAGAGTGCACATCTGCCCCCTTTTTCCCTTCCCATTTACTTTGGCTAGCGGCTCCTCCTCTTTTTCAAACATATACACAAACATTTCTGTGTGGGGGAGAGCTAGAGGGAAGGGCAGCTCCAGTCCCAAGCAAGCAAAAAGTTCCACCATGCATGTAGCATCGCCACACACATACCAGGACACCAGAAAGCCTCCTCGCTGCTCCAAACCTCTGCTTGCCTCCTTTCCCTTCCCACCTCTGGGCTCTGGGTCTGGCATGCCTGCGTAGTACCATCAAGAGCCTCAAGGGTGGGATCTGGATGATTTTTTTCCTGAGGTTTTACTCCTGCCTTCAGGAATTCAAGACATTCCACTTTTCAAAGACTTCAGTCCCAGATGCAGCAATGGCAACCCTAATTGTAACCCACAATTCCCTGCCACCCCCTTTTTTCTTCTCAGTGCCCCCCTGTTGCTCTTTTTTCCCTCAGCACCCTCCTGGAGCTTTCCAACACCCCCAGGGGTGCGCTACCGCCCACTTTTGGGACCACTTATTTAAATCCATGAGTTTGACAGTGGTGTTTTCCCACAAAAATAAAACTACAGAGCAACTGACCAAATCTGTCTTTTATAAAGGTTAGAATTACCAATCATGAGAAAAGGTCAAGCAAAAAGCTGCCTACTACAGGTTTAAGGTCTGCAACCATTGCTACCAATGTGTGTTACATTAAAATTTTCCACTTTTAAGTAGTTGAAAATTAGATTAAGAGGGTAATAACCAGTTAAAATTATGTTGCTTTATGAGAAATGTGCGAAACAAGGCGAGCTGCTTAGTAATATCAGTTTTTCTTTCAAAAACAAGATTCATATCATATATAATCTTCTTCAAGATGAGGATGCCGACCTGGCTGGGAGAGGACAGTGTTGTTACATGGTCGCAGGCCCTCGCAGCTGGGTATTCTGTTAGTGAGAAAGTAAGTGAAAGCGGGCGGGGGGGCGGTGTGGCCCTGGTTCATAAGAACAACCTAATCTGGAACACGGTCCACTTCGAGCGTATGTACCTGAGCCTGAGGACCAGGGATAGTTTGGGGATTCTGCTAG